GCTTCTGTCAGTCTTTGAATTGTTCACGGTTAGGGTGCCGTGAAGAATTCAGCCCAAATGGCCATTGGCTAGCCCACTGCACAACACATCATTCCTTCTCAGCCTCTTCAACCACAGAGGTCAAGTACTAGGCGATGACGGGGGAGTTGAATCAGACTGCATCAATTTTCACAAATGCAAGACAGCCTTCTGATAGACTTGCATTATCTCACATCCCATTGTATGCCTTGATGATGAATGGCGTTGTTTCGGTACAACATGGACCATCAAACTAATTAAAAATCCTAACATCAGAGGGTTCAGTTATCATTAGCAATAGTACAGGTGCCACTCATTTTCAAAAAGGCATAAAAACAAAATGTTTTCGAAATCACAGGTGGAAAAGACATTAAATAAAATTAGAAATGTCTGCTCTTCTACCCTATACATTGTTCTTTACTGGCCTGCATTTGAGTCACTCCAAATCATATTATCTTTCAAACTATGATCAATCTTGAAATACTAAAACAATATTATAACCCATGCGCAGCGATTCTATCGATCTGTTGTTAATTCGATTGAAATCAAGCGTTGCTTAGACTCCATTCAAGAAAGGCTCCGCGGCAACTTTCTGAATCTGACAGTCTTAGAAAAATTAAACCACATTTTGCATTAAAATTTTCAATAGTCTGTGTAATACGCTCTGGAAGCAGAAGTTTAATGCAATTCCACGTCAGAACCAATCCGCACCGTTGTTCAGCGATGCCCCATCTTATAAGAATTACGAAAAACCTGACAAGCAGAAGTGCCGACTGCTAACAAATTAAGAATAGAAACAACCACGGTATTAAGGGTTTACTGACAAAATGCCAGTTTTTGATACCGCCAATAACAGTCTCCCATCAATTCTCTAGATTTTACACGGCGCACAGTGGCACCGCACCGGACAGTGGCATTTCGGTAAATGTGTGAATAGGTTTTGTTCGGTGATGCGGTTTTGAATTCACGCATTGCCGGTGCTAAAAAATCATGAGGCCAATACTTGCTGAAACAGTCCCATGACACTAGAAGCAAGAGAACTTTTTGATTACGCCGTGTAAAATCCGGACTACTGACAGGAGATTGCGAATAAGAATAAATTCAGTAATATGTAAATCCAGTCGCCGCAAAAGTTGGCTAACGATCCAAACAAGCTAGCTAATAAATGGTTACTTTTTAGAGTCACGATTTGTGCTGACTTTTAATCAACTCTCAGTAGGTCAAGGCGGATTAATGCCATAAGGTACACTCATTGAACAGCATGGTTGTAAGTTTCGTACCGACTTGCATGGCCACGCCAGAACGCCATGCTGTATCTATTATTCGCAGGTTAACGACGTGTCAGCCGTTTATAGGCCGGTTGAATCGAAGCAAAGTGGAATGACTTCTTGTTCAAGGGAAATAGTAAACTTTTAAGCCGCATTGATAAGGAGCAAATCAAAACTACTCTTAATGGAAGCACTGCTCCATGGGTGGCGGATGATTTCCATGAATTACAGCTAGATGATCAACATCATGTCAATGGCTCAACTGAACCCTAACGATCTTCCCTCATGCCAAAAAATCTTAGACTGTTCGGGGGTATAAGGCCCGATGTGACAATCGTGTCACTGCGCAATATATCAAATAATATACTACGTGATTAAGAACTACTGCACATACACTTATACCTTTTTTAAGCAAAACTTCCGGTGCCAAATAAGCTGGAGTGCCAACAACGGTTCTTCTGAATGTATTTTCGCCGATTATTCGAGCATATCCGAAATCACACAACTTTGTCTGAGGAAAGTCATTATCCGGAGAATTAAGCAGAACGTTCTCTGGTTTGAGATCACAGTGTGCGATGTCATGCGAATGCAAGTATTTAAGCGCGTTCAAAATCTGGAAAATCAAAAACTTCGTAATCCGCTCAGACAGTCGTCCTAGTCGACTGCTGAGAATCATCTCCAACATGTCCGCTTCCATTTTTTCCATGACAACAAAAACACGATCACGAGTTTCGAACATTGCTTCTAAAGTTATAATTCCAGCGTTACTTATATTCTGCAAAATCGCTACTTCGGAGCGAAGCTGTTCTTTCTGTTTTCGACCGAAGCGACTTTTCATAATCACCTTTATCGCGACTTTACGACCAGTACTAAAATGCGGCAAAATTAAGACCCACGTGAGATTTCAATAACTTCATCTGAATATTACAGAAAAATATTTATGTACGAAAACTACTCAGACTTCAACGGACTTGAATCTCAGATAAACAAATGTTGCATTTGCAAGTGCATTATTTTACTATAAAACAAAACAAAAACAATTGAGGAAATGGCTAAAACGACTACCTTGGCAGAAAATAGCTGGAACACAATAAACACAGAAGAAAACTGCCAACGTCTTTTACTGAAACGTTGACGATCAGTTCATACAGCTGGTGAGCGCTTACAGATATGGAACCTCAGCTCGGAACAGTAAATACTCTAGAAGTTAAATACCATAGAGCAAAGTACGCTGGGGATTACAAGAAGGGAGAACAGAATAAGAATACACACTAGGGTTCACTATGTAATAACCAGTACAACGACCATTCAGGTCGCAGTGGATTTGGCAAGAGGACATGATGATCGACTGACAAAAAGGGTACCTAACTGAACCGCATTAAACAATAAACGACCAGAACAGTGAAAGCTCAAACTCTAGATCCAATCGCCCAGTTCAGAAGTTTTATATGGATGCCGACTACGTAACAGAACGCCAGAAACTGAGTGTTTGCTGTGAGCATCACTGTGATGCGTCGGTACATGCAGAACGTCTTCGATTTGTGAAACTCACGGCAAGACAGGCTGTTCAACGGATCGTTGCACAGCAGAGATCATTTGTAACCACTGATATAATATACTGAGCTGGGCAATGCCAAACTGTCATTCTAGAAGGGAAACGCATGAAGATATCCAGCGTGACTTACAGCTGATCTGCAGATTACAGATACTGTCTTGATCTGCTACGAGAGAAACGGATTTCTACATCTGAGAGCATCGACCGGAAACATTGCAGCGAATTCCTGTCTATTCCTGAAGAAGTCACGAATTATGAGGACTCAAACCGACACAGCAGATCCGCAGGTTTAAAAAGGAGGTGAAACAACAGAAAAGGTTGACGAACACAAATACTTTGGTTCCGTCATCTCCAGTGCGCGCGAGCCAGTTACATTTGATTTAGCGGATCTCTCTCGTCTCGGCGTTTCTGGTAGTCTGCCACATATTTTGAATGAGAGAAATTTCCATGTCTACATAAGTCCGCTTATACCCTGAGTCGGTCAGATCAGTGTTGCCACAGATACTGATACAGAGATCATCGTTCCACTGAAAAATTAAAAACGATTATTGAATAAAATATGCACTGTTTTCTTTGGCATTATGAAGGGTAAGTGGCAAAAGCACATAATGAATGGCTCGAATAACGTCTGCCAGCACAAAAATCTAAGACCTATTATTTAATAGTTTCTACTCCTACATCCATAATCCCGACTTTTATCTCGCTTTCAATGAATATCAGTTTTCTTAAATTATGCAATTAACTTTGGACTAGTATTCTAGGCTAAGTCATTCAGTATTAGGAATTAAGTATTTCATTTTGTTCTCCACTTTTGTCCATTTATCGCGATTATCGATTCTGTTCCACACTGTTCCGCGTACGTATGATTTATCTGAAAAATGTCTCTCTTGATGTCGAAATGCAGAGTAAAATCATTCTTTCACACGCCTGCAAACCATTCTTGTTAAAAATCATGCATGCAATAAATACTGAAAAGTCGTTGCTCAGCTATTTATAAATGGGTTGAAAACCAGTTCAGATGACCGAGCAGCTCACTCTCTCACTGATGATATTAACGAGCCTTAGGATGTAAACAAGTGCAGCAACTAACTGCAATTGAAGAGTGCCTTGCAGCGATTTCTTCGAACATCTTATGTTGATAGTGTTGACGACAATGAAAACACTGATCTCTCATTCGGGTCGTAAATTCAACCTGAGCGACGTCGCCTATTCTGGATTATATTTCTGGATATATCTGGTTTTATGAATGGTCAGAATGTGGAAGTCTGTCCGAATGAATTTATGTGAAATTCTGAATATTGAATCGGTTACTGTAGCGTCAAGAAACGGGATGACGCGCTCGTTCTCTGTACCAGATATAAGCATAGTTTATAAGACATAACTTACACTTAACTAAAAGAAATCGAAACTTTTTTCATAACAGAAAAGCTGATGCTTTCCGTGTAACATTCAAAATGAAGTTCCTGTAAGTCTCTTGCAAAGAACCACGTACTTCAGAACTAATTTCTACGCTCTGAAAGGATGTCACATTTCTGGCATCAGTTTCAGATCAGTCAGCTTACGGATCAAAAGTAAAATAGGAGAATTATCTAAAATATCAATGGCTAAAATTTACCTACGGTGTACTCCACCGTACACTGTACCAAACTGTCCAGAGCCAAGTTCTTCTTGTTGATTAATTTGGTATAAGTTACTGAACTCCAATGCAACGTGAGTGTCTTTGATTTCGTCAGCGTCTTCCGATGGTACGATAGGCGTCAGCTTTTCCTGTGGCAGTTTAGGAGGCAGAAGAGCTTGGTGAATTGCAGCAATCCATTTCTGAGCAACGGCCAATCCAACTCCTGATTCGCGACGTGGTAACTGTGGAAGTGCAGCGGGTGAGCCTTTGAAAATGTGCTTCGCGTACCAGTCAAGATTTTCGCCTAAATGTCGGGCAAGTAAATTCAATCTCTAAAAATGGCAAGGTACCACAAAAGTCGATATAATCGCTGAAATGATTCAAGGTGATGGAAAAAAGGAAGCACCTAATGTATTCAACATGCAAAAATGAATGGACAGAAACGATGATTGCAGGTGATCCTAAGTTAAAACAGTTATCATATTACTTCGGAAAAAAACGGAAAACGTAATATGGCAACTATAGCAAACCTAACTAGTCCGTTAGGTCATATAAACCCTATTTCAGAATCCATAAAACAACAGATGAAAGAAGAGCAAGCCGTATTTAGACCAGAACCTTAAATGCGGAAGTAGAATAAATTGCTTGTACACACGTTAACCAGCAGAACAGTATGCAATACTAACAAGACAGTAAACAGCATATTTTCGACTTCTACTTGCACTTAAACAGGCGTTTGACAAAATCAGAAAAGGTCTACGGAAGGCATTCCAAACAGAAAGAAGATCAATGACACTGATATGTGATAAAATACAAGAGTTTTTCATACGTAAACGGTCATGTGATTCGCTAGCGAAAAACAACGCATACATTTTTATTTACAGTTATTTTAAACCAGAAACTGACGCCTTGCACCAAAATCAGTTCGTCTTCAGAGCTACAATGTATAATGCTATAATTCTAACTCTGAAGACGAACTTTGTTTGATCCGACGCGTCAATTTATGACTGAAAATAATTGTAAACAGAAATTACACCCGGTTTTTCCGTTCCTATCATTCCGAACACAATGATATTGATCAGTTTATAGAAATGAGGAACCACTGAGGAACTTGCACAACGGTTATAGATTATGACAGAAGCCAGAGATATCAGCGCGGTTGCTCAACGCCTGCATAATATCACATTCAAAATAATGGTGATGCCAAAACGTAAATGAAAAGGAATTACGCGGTGAGTCGGCTAAAATTTACATTTTGCATGTATGACGGTTCAGCGTTTCAAAGCCTGTACAATTACTTAGGAAAGTCAATTTAGAATGAGGCATGAATGATTCAACCGAAAAAAAAACATCATGACAGCTGGACAAAAAAACGAAAGGTCTAAAGGTTTCAGGAGAGGAGAAACAGATGAAGCATGGATCGGAATTTTCGTATCTCGATGTATTAATATCAAAGAATGGAGAACACACCCGCCTTGTCGTAAAACGAACAAATGCACTAGTTGTAACAATGGAATAGCAGATATGATTCAGATAACATAAACGGGATGTTGCATTTCAATCCAATTCTGTCAGTGACGAGTGACTATCAGTTCAAAACGTACAGCATAAAAAAGTAAAAAATATATGCTACTAGTTTGATTTCTTTAAACTGAAGAATTCTTCAGGCTTGATGGAATCTGTAATGACCCATCAGGAAAACTCGTATTTGGCACATAACGATCAACTGAATAGAAGAACATCGGCTAAGTGGTAACAGCATATGGGAGGAATGAAATTAAACAACGATCTGTACCTGTTCTGAAAAAGCACGCTGAGGGACAGAAAAAGTATTCAAGAAAAAAATGGGCTGACGATACGAGAAAAAGGAGTTAGCGGAAAAAGGCTTTAAAACAATATATCCAATTTTAGACAGTGTTGGAACACAATTTGCAATGCACTGATCTATCAATTTCTATGATGCTCGAAGAAAATACAAGTACTAATTCTCAGCAGTAGATGCTGAACAATAAACATGATAAACAACAAATGTCAAACTTGTTGGAGAACCCGCAAAAGAATATTTTATCCCTTGATAACGCATGTGACTTACCGACGAAGTAGACAGTGTGTGCTGTTTGGATTTCGAAGCAGTGAGGAGGTCCACTTGGATCGATAGGAGGTCCGTTGTATGGCCGCAAACCAAGAATCTGTCCTAATGGTATGAACTTGTAACAACGGCTTGCACCCTGTGGACAATGGAACAGTGAGATGCCGGTCGCATCCATCACCCAGTAGTGGCGTTTGCGCGCTCGGTTGTGATTCGTGAAATGAAGCAACCATCCTTCCATAAGCACCGGTAGTGCCCTCTGGCGACTATGCCGTATTGCCGCCTGTCCTGGGATGCGCGTCAATTGTATCAGATCTCCAGTACTATAAACATGCATGATAGTCAAACGCAACTGCCATGACTCGACGATGGCGTTATTCCGATTACCTCACTTCTTCGGCATGATGGTGGCTATTGATGACCACACCGTCGCTGGACAGCTTCTCGGTAGCTGTGGAAGTGTCCACTTCCATGCTATCGTTTGACGACTTCACGACGCACGCTTGACAGTCCATGCGGCAGTCGGACGAAAGCGCGGAAGCGCACTTCTTGTGGACGTTCACTTTGCAATCGCGGCACTGCAGACCCTGCTTGACGATGCCAACAAGAAGATTGTTACAATACTTGCACACGGTCGGCTTCTTGTATGTGTGAACGACGAACGTGTGAGGGAGGCCGAAGTTGGTGCTATCTGGAGGCTCTGCCTCACCTCCGCTGCATGAACAGTTATTGTGCGCAGCGAACGCACAGTTCTTGTGGAAATTTAAGCTGCACTTCGAACATTTCAGCCCTTGACGAACAAGACCGACCAGAATCTCGCCGCAGTAGTCGCAGAACGTTGGTGCGTAGTAGCTGTGTACGTTAAGGATGTGCGGATGAGCAGGGCGCTCGTTTTTGTGCGTGATCACCACCTCGATGACCGTTCCGTTGTTGATTTCGTCTGTGTCATTCAAAAGCTGCAGAACGTTCGGCGATTCGTAGTTGTGCCGAAACAACAAAATACGTTGCAGCATAAAGGCCTGGTTTGGGCACAGTTTTTCGATGAACTGCTGTGCTTTCTGCCGAATGAACGGCAAATCCAGAGAATCACGGTTCACGTTAATGTGCTCTTTATGAAGACCCATCTGCAGCGTAATGCAGATCTCGCAGTCGGCGTTAGCCATTGGAGCTGTCATTGCGGAATTGAAAGAGTAACTAGAACTAGAATTATAAAAAAAACATCTGCGGTTATAAAACAATCACAAACGAACTGATGGGCAATTAAAGCTGCAAGTGCTCGTGTTCAAGCAACTCGCCACTGGACAACCGACTATATGAAATCCACATAAGAATAAAAATGGCACTGAACACTTTTGGAATACTGAAAATGTTCTTATCAAGAAAACTACCTTTGTGCTTGAAATGGAAGTCTTCGATCAGTGTGTGCTCCCAGTGCTGTGGATGCAAAACATGAGCCATAAACCTGATAAATATTAGGAAACTGCAGACTACACGAAGCAGCATGGAAAACTGTATGTAGGGAATAACTAGAGAAGATAGAAAGACGAATGAATAGGTAAGAGCACAAGTGTTTGCAACGTCATTTCCTGAGTGAAGAAGTTAAAGTAGCAATAGTTAAGACACGCTGCAATAAGAACCGACCATCGCTGGACCAGCAAGATATATGACTGAATTCCAAGAGAAAGTAAGCAGCCGGTAGGAAATCTTTCACATAGATAGTACTATGAGTTGAAGAAGTTCGAGGGATAAAAATCGAACAAAACAAAAGTTTACAGCAAAGTTTTCGACAGAACTTCATCCTTCAGTGCATCGAAGGAGGCTAATAATGATCATTTTTAACAATCAATATGTTCCCGAAACCATATGTAAAATGTCACTAAAACATCATTTCCAACAAACAAAGCCAGGAGGACAACGGTAGCACGGCAATTTAAAAAAGTAATATGATAAGTTTACTATCGCAGTGAAGCTGTAACAACGCTTCCGTAATAGCGCCATCGAAAGCATTCTTCAGGATTAAATGTTTTAAAACCTTTGTCGTATAGTTCCTAATGCCTGAGACAAAAAGAAGAAACACAAACTGTTAATAACCACCACTATCAAAAACATCGAGACAAATTTAATCACTCCATAGTAAGCACAATAAAACCACCATTTTACGTTAAAAAGCAAAAAGTTTCATCAAAAAGGTTACATTGAACTACTCAGTAGGCCCAATCGGTTTCTCTGCACCATCCCGCTTCTGCTAAAAACATAATGAAACATTTAACCATGTGGCGAGTCCCAAGTTAGCCAAGTACATCGTATTGGGCTACAATGATATGAGTCAGTAGATAGCAGGATCATCAAAAAGAAGGATTCAAAGCCATAAATCAGCCCATATTGCCATATTACGCAGTGTTCACAAAAACTGTTCCCGTGTTGCACTATGAAAATGAATTTATCGAAGAACTGGCAAAATGCTGAATCGGCGCCACAGTCATTAAGAACCATGCAACTGAAAAGGTAGCAGTTTGCGGATCCTTCAAACACTCCACACGAACCACGTGATATTCAGGTAGTACTTCGAGTGCTGACTGTCAATATTAGCTAGAAAACTATTAACGTTGTAAGAATTTTCATTTTAACCAATGCTAACTGGAGTTCAAAATTCACTATACGATGATGGTTCGATTGAAAAAATCGAAAAAGCCATCACCTGATTAGCACATGCTTCAAGATTCCGTCTAACGAATCAATCTGCCAAAGTCGGGGCTCAGGTCCCTCGATTCCCGACATATGCAGCCCGTCACAAGCGCGCAATACATGAAAACTCTGTTCACTTACTGATGGTTTATATGATGGTTTATAAAATGATGTAAATACCAACGATATATATTTAGGTATTTCAATGAATGAACAGTTTTATTTCCATGTACCTAGTTTAATTATATGAGAACGGAAAACGATCACATTAACAGATCACATGTAAAAGCGAATACAGCGAAGTCCAGGGTTGACTGACTTTGTTGTTCGTTCAATCTCCTTGAGCGAAAGGAATTGCATGGTGATCGCAGAAAATGAAAAGGAAAGTCGATCTTCTTCACACTTTCATGATAGGGCCATTTCTGGCGCACTTCTCCAATTGAAGTAAATGGTGTGGCGCTGATCTCCATTTCCATGCAATCAGCCAGGAGTGCCTCATTTTAAAGACAGAGTCGCCAACAGCTAAGTTGCAAGCATAGTGCGTTGTCTCCTATTTCCTTCCCACAGCGTGGTATTCACTTCTTAACCTAGGGAGAAGAAACTCTAGTAACCCGAAGGAACTGGAACCAGAGAACTCGAGCTTCTTGAGTCCGATGTCGTACTGACTGAGCAGCCCCAGTCTATGGCTGACAGAATGAGCGACGGCTTTGGTGCAAGTACATGCACTCAATCTAGACGCACAAACGAAACATTCTCGGAGGCAAATGAAACGGTTTAGTAAAACATAGGTGTAACGGAATCAACTAGTCTAACGGAAAATTCAACGGTGTCGGAATCGACAACCAGAGACGACGGGTGCGATCAGAATCAACGGCGACCATTGAATTGTGTAGAATTACTGAACTTCTGCTTATAATGAATAATTTACTGAACCTGACTGCAGTAAGATACTGAATAAACACACCTGTTAGCGGGATACTTCAGAAGTGATCACTGATGAACTTTTTCATTGTTTTATCACATCTTTTTGGGTTATGCTGTATGTTCAGGTAAAACTGTGGACGGACCTATCACAAAATACCGCCACCTGGTAGACTGGAGTGCGTTTATCAAAATTACGGCGACTCACAAGAAGGTAGACCAAAAACTGTTGAATGAATAGAGCTAGAAGCCTCTGGATATGAAAGTGACGAAACGGCTTGCGGATGATGTGCCAATGAGGATTAACCGAATACACAGCTAAGACCTGGAAGAACGGAAAGCGTTACGCCAATTCTTTATTTAGTCAGTTTTCGCCCTGTTGT